ATAGGACAAATCATTCAAAAGCCTTAATTTCCTCCTCTGTGAAATATAAGTTGTATTAAATTATTCTATGTATGTCACAGCCAACATTAAACTAACTAAATAAAAGGATATATTAAAAAATAATTCACTCATTCATAAAACGTTTACAAATTTTTTACGGTACCAGGCCCTGAAAATAGAATTACTAGTAAAGATATTATTTTCAAGGAATTGAGTGTGTGACAAGTACAATATCAAATTTTGTGTGACTGGGACTATATAAAAATGTTATAAACCAGAGACCATAAATTTAATGTTTGAAGACATCTTGCAGTTCAACAGGTAACAGACTAATAACATAACAAGGGAAAATAGTATATATACACAATTGACATATACAAATCATTAATTGATTTTAAAAATTAAATAGTTTCGATAATACTCAACAACATAATTAAGAAAATACAAATTTTAAGCAATAAAACATTTCTCCCTTTTTTTAAAAAAAAAAAAAACATTTATGTTAGCATTCAGGGCTGATATAAGCAAATGGGCACTGCAACATTTAGCTAGTATGACAATGACTGACATGACCTTTTTTACGATAGTTTGGCAAAATCTATCTAAAGTTTAAAAATGTGTCTTTTTCCAAGTCCAAATACTTACAAGAAAAGAAAACTAAAGCCAATACCCCTCATGAAAAATGGAGAAACCCTTAGCAAAATATTAGCATTATTAGTATACATATGGGAAACTAAGAAGGGTTTATCACAGAAATTAAAAGTTGGCTCAACATCAGAAAATCAATCAACACACCTTAACAAACCACAAGTAAGAACAACCACATAATCACCTCAATAGTTGCAGAAGACGCATCTGACAAAATTCGCCACTCATTTATGACAGAAACACTAAACCACCTAGGAACAGAATGGAACTTTCTCAATCGCATCATAGAGGGCATCTACAAAAAAACAACAGCTAACATCCGATAGAATGATCCGATAGCAAGGATATCTGTTCTTCCAACTGCTAGTCAGCATTTATGCTGAAAAGCCTAGCCAGCACAGTAGGGCAAGAAAACAAAATAAAAAGCAGACAGAACAGAAAGAACTGAAACCATTCTTATTAATAAACAACATAATAATCTACAAAGAAAATCCATACATGGTGGTTGTGGTATGCTGTGGAGTCAATTCCAAGTCATGGAGACCCAGAACAGGATTTCTGAGGTTGTAAATTTTTACAGGAGCAGAAAACCTCATCATATAGGGATTCCAATGGGCAGCTGATAAGCCTGAACCACCGAACTTGCAGTTCAAAGTAACTTTGCAGTCCAACACATTAACCCACAGCACCACACCATAACTCCATATACATATATATATAAAATATACACACAGAAACAGACATATACTATGTTCAACAAAGAATCAAGGTAATTCAATGGAAAATGCATAGTCTTTTCAACAAATGATGCTGGATCAATTAAACATCTCTGGTAGCATAGTGGTTAGGAATCGGGCTGCGAACCTAAGGCCAGCAGTTCGAAACTACCAGCGGTTCTGCGGGAGAAAGATGATGCTTTCTGCTCCCGTAAAGATTTACAGCCTCGGAAACCCTGTACAGGGTCACTATGGGTCGGAACCGACTCGAAGGCACTTAACAACAACAACAACAACACCCAAAAAAGGAGCTCTGGTAGCGTAGTGGTTACAAATCGGGCTGCGAACCGCAAGGTCAGCTGTTTGAAACTACCAGCTGCTCTGTGGGAGAAGGATGAGGCTTTCTGCTCCCATAAAGATTTACAGCCTCGGAAACCCTGTTCAGGGTCACTATGGGTCGGAACCAACTTGACAGCACTTAAGAACCAAAAAAAATATTTTAAAACCTCAACCAATACCTAGCATAAAATGTAAATATTAGTAACTTGAGAGGAATTCTGGTGCTAAGAGTATAAAACTTCTAGGAGAAAATATAGGAGAGATTCTGTTACTGGGTTCCCCAAAGATTTAACAGATATGGTAAATACACAATATTGTATAAGAAAAATTAATAAATCAAACCATAACAAATTTACAATTTTCTGCTCTTTAAAAGACACAGTTAAGAAAATACAAACAGGACACAGACCAGAAGAAAAATCTGAAACTATGTACCTGAAAAGGGATTTGTATGTAGAATACATAAAGAATTTATATAACTCAGTAAGACAAGCAGCACAATTTTAAAAGGGAAAAGAGGCAAAGATTTGAGCAGATATTTCACTAAAGAATATACATAAATGGCAAAAAGCTTAAGACATGTCAACATCATTAATCAGTAAAACAAAACTCAAAACCAGCGAGTCAATTCTGACTCACACAGCCCTTTAGGACAGGGTAGAACTGTCCCATCCGTTTCCAAGGCTATAAATCTTGCAGAAACAAACTGTCACATCACTCTCCCACCAATCTTTCAAAGCAGCAAAGCTTGCGGTTGACAGCCCAGTGTTCAACCACTGCATTACCAGATTTCCTCATATACCCACTAGAATGGCTGAAATGAAAAAGATTGACAGATAATATCAAGTGTTGTAAAACAACTGGAACTCCGGAATCACCAATCTGGAAAGCAACTGGATAGTTCCTTACAAAGTTAAACTTACCATACCTTCCAACAACCCCATCCTAGCTATACAACCACAACAAATGAGTAAAATATCCACACAAAAACCTGTAGATGGTGCTTACAGTGGCTTTTTTGTTAACAACTGAAAACTAAAATAATTCATGTAAAAAATTATGGTACATCAATACAATGAAATACTATTCAGTCACAAGAGTTACTGTTCTTCACTAAAGGAACAAACTACTAATACATCCAACATTTTGCTAAGTAAAAGAAGCCAGACACAAAAAGCTGTATACTATATAATTACTGCCATGTCATTATGAAAAATACAAACTATAAAGGTTGTAATCAGATTGGGAGGAACTTAATGGCAGAAAAGGTGAGGGGATACGTCAAGGTTATAGAACTGTTCTGTTGTTTTTTTCTTTTTACTGTGGTGGTGATTACAAAATAACATACTTTTTAAAAATTCACCAAATTATATACTTTTTAAAAGTATATCATTTTACTCAATGTCAATTATATCTCAACTAAAATGACTTCTTAAAACAGCAAAAAGATGTTTTTCTACATATGAAAGGGCTTCAAAAGTTTGTGAAAAAATAGAATTAAAAAGGTAAAGGAATTTTTCCACTAACCTTTGAAGCCCCTTCATACATTTAATTTTTTTAATGTCAGGTGATCCATTAATATTTAAGACACACTCCTTATTTATGTGATCAATTCATGTGCTATTACAAAAATATATAATCATTCTTTCATAAATGTAACTCCAATTTGTCATTCACATCATTCTTAGAAATGGATACCTTTTTTTTTTTTTGGTAAAATCAACTGACCAAATTGTTGTTAAGTGCTGTCAAGTCAGTTTCAACCCATAATTCCTGGGTAGGGTTTCTGAAGAGCGACTGGTGAGCTTGAACCACCGACTTTGTAGTTCAAACCAACTTTGAAGTCCAGTGCATTAACCCACAGTGCCACACAAAGACTCCAAATTGATTAACTAGTTTAAAACAAATTTAATTTCTGGTCCTTGTTTTACTTGGCAAAATGAGATTTAATTGCAAACTTAATATGGCTAAATTTGAAGCAGATAAGATTATTGGTCAATATCACTAATGTCACAATGTTGTTAAGTTGTTGTCAAGTGCAGTCAAGTCAGTTCCGAATCACAGCAACCCGCTACAGGGTTTCCTAGGAAAGGCTGGTAACTTCACAATACCCAGGTTCAATTTATACCTCTGCCACTAGCTAGTTGTATACAATTTTCTCATATATGCCTCAGTTATCGTCCTCACTTGTAAATGAAATATAAGGTTTCCATGGATTGTTCCTATCTCACAGGGTTTCTTCAAGAACAGAATGAGAGAATATTTAAAGAATGCTTAATAAAGTAGCCTAACATATATTAAGTGCTCAGTAACTATATTCACTGCTTATTTTAGTATTATTTAGTTACTTAAAGAAATACCTTTCCAATTTTCACAGCTCAAAATTTAATAAGTATTTCATAATGTGTAAGAATTTTATCAAACACCGTATAGAGAACAAGAGCTGGGCTTCAATTTCCATTAAATTATTTTTAAAGAAATGGTCAAGAATAGAGGTATACAATGAAGAAAAGGACACAGGAGAGGAGGAAGAGAACACACTTTCACTGTATTCCTACAGACACTGAAGAAAACAGGGACTCTATCGCTTTTGGTGCTACTAGCAGAAACAAAGAACCTTCAGAAACAAAGAAGCTGGAGATAATCTTTTAATAAACCCTTAAGTGTCCTTTAAAAAGAAGTGTTCGCTTTGTACTTAAGATATTGGCTTGGTTCCTAAAAGCAAATGTCTCGTTAAGAGTAAAATTCATAGTTAGAGAGATTAAATCATAAAACGTAACATTTGTAATGATTTATATCAGAAAGCAGAATGCTTTAAAAATCCCAACTAAGGGCCCCCACGCCACACAATCCAAGGAACTCCATCACCTTAATTAATTTTATGAGCATGACTTTCATTACTTTTAAAACAGAGAGCACTAGAAAGCCAGTAATTGAAAAAATTAACGCTTTCTGCCTCCTTGAGGCACCACGGAATCCTGGTGTGGTGCTGTAGAATAAGGGCTGGAGTGCTAAACAAAATGTCAGCAGTCCAAACCCACCAGCTGCTCCTTGGAAACCCAACACAGGATTCGCTGTGAGTCGTAACCGACACAACAGCAGTTAACAACAGAGTTCCCAAAGATATGAAAAAAATGAGAAAAGTCATCTGAGTTTAAATATGGTGGATGGTAGGATAGTTCAAAGAAAGCATTTTTTTTTAAGTTTCTCCTTGTTCATACGTTCCCATAGTTCCCAAAAACTAACACAGTAGAAATTAGAAATAATAGAAGGCCCTCCATTTGGGAGTAAACTTACCTGTAATGCTTTATTCTCTGTAAGGTCCAGCCCAAACACATTGTAACGCTTCACCTTAAAGAAATCACCATCCGGTTCATCATCATCTTCCTCATCTCTGTCCAAGAACTGCAGAGGACCTTCCTTTAGCTTCTGGGATTCACCACAACCAGAAACAGTTTGAGAATCTTTCGATTTTCCCATTTTCTCACTCATTTCTCGTTCGTTTCCCTTCTCTTCTTCTTCCTCTTTTTCATCACTAACACCATTAGCCAGTCTGTAGTCTGTCTCTTCTGATCTTTTCCCACCTTTCTGAAGGATGGACATTTTCTCACTGAAATAAGCTCTAAATTCTTCCACTTCATCATTGGTGAGGGAGGGAGCCCTTAGCTCAACTACTTTACTGGCTTGGCTCGATGACAATTCTTTCGTGGGTTGTTTCTGCATTTTCTGAAGAAATCTTACTCGTGGTGCCACAGCAAGACCAAGAGACCTTAAGTATAGGAAAAATGAAAATAATTATCTCAACACAATGATAGTATGCTTTCTCTTAAAAGTGGAGATCTATTTTTAGAGCAGTTTTAAAGAAAATGTCCCTCTGAAATATAACCCAGTCCTATCAGGCTAGATGATCCAAAATGCAAGCCAAAACAAAAATAAACAAAAAACTAAGTATCTGTCAGAAAACATTTTGGAGATACCTTGTTTTTCTTTAAGAGGCTAGCATGGCACAAAATAAAGATCATTAAACCAGAATTGAGATGGCAATTGGTTTAGGTACTAAATTTGTCTATTTCCCGTTTGACTCTCTCAACCTCACCTTTCTCATACCACAGGGTTATTAATTCCTGTGTATCTCACAGCTGTTGAAAGTTCAGATCAACAATTTGAAATCTCTTTGCAAAATGTAAGTACTAAATAAACGGAAAGAGACAGAGCCATGAAATGACAAAACACAGTTCTCTGTAAAGAATGACCTCAAGGACCATCATTCCCTTTTTTGAAACAGAATAGGGCACAATCATTCCTATAAAAAAGAAAGGATGGTTACAAAGCAGAAGACAACAAAAAGAAATAAACAGATGGTTCCTGATAAAAAAGAATAAAAATGTGGAACCAAGCTCTTAAAAATTCTTTCAGAAGTCCAGACTTACTGAACTGGTTAAGACTATAACCCTAAGATACTTTTTAAATTGTGAAGTGAAACTACTCCTGGAGGTTACCTTTCAGCTAAATAACAAATTGCTTCATACAATAAATAACATCACCAATGACAACTGTGCTCCTTTAAGAAAAAGTCATCTATTAAGTAAGACCAAAATGGTCAACATTTATTCTGAGGCAAAAATTACAAGGTAAGGAAAGCAAAGAAACAAGATAAATGGTAACAGAACCTTAAGAATGGAAATAATTAGACTGTTATTACTCTGCGGAAAATAACAACCACTGTTACTGAACAACAGTATGATGGTGGTGGCCCCACTCACAGCAACCCTATATAGGGTTTCTGAGGCTGTAAATCTTTATGGGAACAGCAAGCCTCATTTTTCTCCTGTGGAGCAACTGGTAGATTCGAACTGCTGACTATGTGGTTAGCAGACCAACTCGTAAGCCACTATGCTACCAGGACTCCCTGAACAATTTGTACAGAAATTGTTAAATGTAAACCCAATTTGCTGTAAAAACTTTTCGCTAAAAACACAATTATTATTTTTTAAATATGACAACACTACAAGAACAAGTAAGTTGTTTGCCGGAGAGCCATCAAGACAAGCAATCAAGTCCCTTCAGGACAAATCCCCCTCGAAGACTGAAACTCCAAGGGAAAACAAGCAGGCACATAAGCTTGCTGACAATCAACCACGTTGGTCTACTGGTGAGTGGAAGAGGGGGAAAGGCAACAATGAAGAAATGGGCTGAGTTCAACCACAATCCATTGACTCCTGTTGACCTGGAGATGAGAGAGAAAAGAGGAAGAGCTGGTTGGTCCTAAGTGTGGTGAGACCTGGGGACTCCTGAACCCATGGATAAGGACATAGCCACAGAGGGTTAGAGCTGAGAGTGAAGCCTCCAGCTGACATGAAGTGAGGGGAGATGCACAAGAACACCCAAACTTGCAGACAGTACCCATTTGACCTAGCCTCAATGACTTGATGATCAGAACTCAACTGAGGTATCCTTTTGATTAAGTAAACAAGTATAAACCACTACAATTTGATGAATTTGACCTATACTTATGGATGTAGTAGCTCAAAACATCAACTGAGCGGGAAGGAGTCTTCACATCAAAGTATCATCCCTATACTATTCACATCAATTATCAACCCTATCCCCTCTGTACACAGGGTAGATAGAGACTGGCAACTTAGACACTGGCTACCTAAAATGAGGGGGAAATAAAGGCATAAAGTGGCTGGCTTATAAGTTTTCAAGAGGGAGTTCAGTTTAAGAATGTGTGGGGGAAGGTAGTATCCCCATTGAATAGTTTTCATCTTGTCTACACGGGTGTGGTGAAAGGAGATGGGGATAAGACTCTTATGATTCAATAGTTACGTTATCCAGTTATCATGACTAACTGGAACTGTCACAACTGTAAAGGTCAAAGTTTTGTTACAAAAATGGGGGAGTAGTTAATATTATAGTACACAAACACAGAACCCTAGGACCATCAAGGGAGAATAGCACAAGCGGAATGCGGGACCCTATCCAGAGAAGCAGCGACACCAGAGATGGAGGCAGAGATGAGGACATGGAGAGAGAAAGCAGCTGAGGACTCTAGACTCATGGAAAGAGAAAGACTGAGTGCGGGCAGCCAGGAGGCAGTCTTACAGAATGTGCCCTTTGGTTATTTAAATTATTATATATTCCTGAGTGTTTTTTGGTACACCTCCCTTGCACAAAAAACAGAGGGAATGGAAGCAAATACTACTGAATGATGATGCACGGAGGAGATTGTAATCATTGCAATGAAACGATGGTGTAAAACAGATGTTCTCCCATGTAAGCTATCACTCAAATCACAATAAAAAGTTTAAAAAACAAAAGAAAGAAATTTGTCATATTTTCTGTGAAAATTTTCATAGAAAACACAATATAATTTTTATTTTTTTAAAAAAAAGAAGAAAATCTTGTTTTCTTCTTCTGAGATTCATTTAAAGGTCAGGTATTCCCTAACTTGGCTCAAAGCTAATAGCTTTCACTATTCCCATTGTCAGATTGGAAATAAAATCTTGAAGCAAGGTCTGCAATAATAAACAACTAATGTTTATAACATGGATTCACACCTCATTTTTTTACATGACATGGTTTTTAACAAATTCTGAGAGGTAGTACTACAGTGTATGCTGAGAAACATGGATTCAGAAGTGGGACTATTGAGGTCCAAATCTCAGGTCCAAAGATTACTGACTGCATGATCTTGTTATTGTTATTAACAGCCGTCAAGTTGGTTCCAACTTATAATGATACTACGATACTACGTAGGGTTCCTGAGGAGCGGGTGGTGAGCTTGAACCACTGACCTTGAAGTTTAACATATTATTTAGCCTCTCTATATGTGTTTTCCTGCTTGTAAACTAGGATGATAATAGTACTACGGTAGAGAGAATTTACTTGATATGGCTCTCCTAGTCATAGTTTTCATAACTCCCAACAAATGATTGCAAGGGACCATGTAAATAGGGTTCATGGTACTGTGGTGCAGGGATTGGTTGGTTTTGCCACTCCAATAAATTTTCAATGAGAAATCACAGAGGAGGATTAGAAGAACTCAAGACAATCAAAAAAGAAATGTCCATGTTAGAAGACAGCAAAAGAATTGATGCATTTGAGTTATGGTGTTGAAGGAAAATATTAAAAGTACCACAGACGGCTACAAGAAAAATCAAATCTGTGTTAGAAGAAGTACAACCAGAACACTCCTTGAACAAGAGGACAGCGGGTCTTCATCTCTCATACTTTGGAGAGATTATCAGGAGGGACCAGTCCCTGGAGAAGGACTTCATGTTTGATAAAGTGGAAGGTCAGCAAAGAAGAGGAAGACCCCCAACAAGGTAGACTGACAATGGCAGCAGCAATGGGCCCAAGCTTAACAATGACTGTGATGATAATGATTGTGCATAAGGTCGCTATGAGACAGAATCAACTCACTACACATAACAACAACACTATACAGGGTTGTTAAGAATACTTGAGTTCATAGATGTAATACACTTAAAACAGCGTCTAGTACATAAACAGCAACTACAGATAACCATGGCACCACCAGGGCACCTTAGGTGAAGTGTTCAGCAGCCAACTGAAAAGTCAGCAGTGCAAACTTACCAGCAATCTGTTATCATACAAATCCCTGCCTCAGGAAGTCTATGGGCAGTTCTATTTTGTCATATAGGGTTGCTACAAGTCAGAATCAACTCATTAGCAATGGGTTTGGTTCTGCTGACTGAGCACTTGAGGTCATCATTCATTACTGCTGTGGTAGCTACAGGTTAGAATCACTAACTTGTTTCTCTCAATGCATTAGTTACATTTCTGTATCTTTCTCAGCTACTTTAGTAAAATGTCAGGAGGTTTTGTAAGCAAAAATTTGAGCTCCTTGAATATAAAGGTATACATTATATACACATATAATTCTAACCTATCCCTTGTCTGCTACTTTGTCATACTGTTGTGGCTTTTGTGTTACTGTGATGCTGCTGACAGCTAGGCCACTCATATTTTAAATACCAACAGGGTCACCCATGTTACGTGCCGAGTTAGTTCCGACCCATAGCAACCCTGGTACAGGGTTTCTGAGGCTATAAATCTTCACAGGAGCAGAAAGCCTCATCTTTCTCCCACGGCTGGTAGTTTCAAACTACTGACCTTAAGTTTCGCAGCCCGATTCATAACCACTATGCTACCAGAGCTCCTTAGGGTCACCCATGGTAGAGGGTAAAACAGAGTTTCCAGAATAAAACACACTAGGAAGAAAGAAAGGCTAACTACTTCTGAATGTTCAGCCACTGAAAACATAATAAATATCAAGGGGACATTTTCGGATACAGTGCCAAAAGATGAGAACATTATGAACAGCATCAGAATACTGTCAGATATAGTGCCGAAAGATGAGCCCTTCATGTTGGAAGGTACTCAAAATACAAATGGGGAACAGCTGCTTCCTCAAAGTAGAACTAACAGTGATGACAAGAATGGAATAAAACTCTTAGGACCATCATTTGCTGATGGAGCACAACTCAAAATGAGGAGAAACATTTATAAACATTCATTAATAGTGAGAGCATGGAATGTACAAAACACAAATCTATGAAAATTGGAAGTTATCAAAAATGAAATGGTATGCATTAAAATCAATATCCTAGGCATCAGTAAGCTGATATGAACTGGTATTGGCCATTTTGCATTTGCATTTGACAGTCATATAATGTACTATGTAAGGAATGATAAAATCGAGAGGAATGGCTTCGCATTAGTAATCAAAAAGAATATTTCAAGATCTATATTGAAATACAACTGTCTGATAAGATATCTATATACCTACAAGGAAGACAATTTAATATCCCTATTGTTCAAATCTATGTACCAACCACTAAAGTCAGTGATGATGAAATTGAAGAATTCTAACAACTTCTTCAGTCTGAAATTGATCAAACATATAATCAAGATATATTAGTGATTACTGGTGATCGGAATGTGAAGGTTGGAAAAAGGGAAGGGTCAGTAGTTGGAATATATGGTTTTGGTGATAAAAATAATGCTGGAGATCACATGATAAAATTCTGCAAGACCAAAAACTTATTCACTGCAACTGTTGTTGTTAAGTGCCATCGAATCAGTGCCAACTCATAGTGAACCTGGTATGGGATCTCTGAGGAGATTCCAGTGACTTTGAACCACCAACATTGCAGTTAGCAGTTCAATGCTTATTCTGCAATGCCATATTTTAAACACATGGACCTCATCAGATGGGATACACAGGAATCAAATTGACTACATCTGTGGGAAGAGATGATAGAAAAGCTAACTATCTTCAGCTAAACTAAGGCCAGGGGCTAACTGTGCAACACATCATCAACTGCTGATACGCAAGTTAATGCTGAAGCTAAAGAAAATGAAAATAAGCCCTTTAGAGCAAAAATATGCCAGAACATAATCACTTGAATTTAGAGACCATCTCAAGAACAAATTTGATTCATCAGACTACTTACCAAAGACCAAAAGAGCTGTGGTAAGACATGAATATCATACAGGAAGAAAGCAAATGGTTATTAAAAAGACAGGAAAGAAAGTAAAGGTCAAAATGGACATCAGAGGAAACTCTATAACGTGCTCTCCAGCGTACAGAGGCTAAACTGAATTGAAGAAATGAGCAAGCACAAGAGCTGAACAGAAAATTTCAACGGGCAGATTGAAAAGACAAATTTGCAAATACCTGGTTAGAAAATCAAAAAGGAAGAACACACTCAGCATTTCTCAAGTGAAAGAACTAAAGAAAAAATTTAAGCCTCCATTTCCAATACTGAAGGAGTCTATAAGAAAACTAATGAACGATGCAAAGAACAACAAAAGCAGATGGAAAGTATACAAAGAGTCACTGTACCAAGAAGAAATGGTCAATGTTCAACCATTTCAAGAGGTAGCATATGATCAAGAATCAATGGTACTGAAGGCAGAAAGTCCAAGATGCACAGAAGGCAATGGGAAAAAGAATGGCTCCAGAAATGGACAAAATTCAATCAGAAATCTTTCAACCAACTGATGTAGTACTGGATGTGTTCACTCTTCTATATCAAGAGATCCATATTTGTACCCATTCCAAAGAGAGGTGAACCAACAGAATATGGAAATAATCAAACAATATCATTAATATCACATACAAGTAAAATTTTCTGAAGATAATTCAAAAACATCTGTAACAGTACATCGATATGAAACTGGCAATAACTCAAGTCAGATTCAGAGAGGAAGTGGAACTAGGGACAGCACTGCTAATGTCAGATGGATCTTGACTAAAGCAGAAAATACCAGAAAGATGCTTAATTGTGCTTTATTGGCTATGCAAATGCTTCAATTGTGTTGTACATTACAAACTATGGGTAAAATTGTAAAGAATAGATATTCCAGAACACTTGACTGTGTTCATGAGGAACTGCACATAGACCAAGAGAGGCAGTCGTTCAAACAGAACAAGGGAACACTAAATTGTTAAAAATTAGGAAAGATGTGTACCAGGGTTGTATTCTTTCACTATGTTTATCCAATCTGTATACTGAGCAAATAAACTGAGAAGCTAGATTATATGAAGATTGTGGCAACAGATTTGAAGGAAGATTCATTAACAATCTGCAATATGCAGATGATACAACCTTGCTTGCTAAAAGTGAGGAGGACTTAAAATACTTACTGATGAAGATCAACCATCACAAACTTCAGTATGAATGCATCTTAATGTAAAGAAAACAAAAATACAACTGGACAAATAACATGGTAAATGTAGAAAAGACTGGAGTTGTCAAAGACTTCATTTTGTTTGGATCTATAATTAACACTCATAGAAACAGTAGTAAAGAAATCACATGACACACCGCATTGGGCAAATGTTCTGCACAAGACCTCTAATACAGTGTTCATGAGCATAAAAATATCAGTTTGAAGGCTGGGCCTGACCCAAGCCAAGGTATTTTCAATTGTCTCACATGCATGTGAAAGTTGAACAGTGGATAAGGAAGACCACAGAAGATTTAATGCATTTGAGATATGATGTTGGAGGATATCCAAAATACCATGCCAGAAGAACAAATCTGTGTTGGAAGAAGTACAATACAAACCAGAATGCTCCTTAGAAGCCAGGATGGCAAAACTTCGTCTCTCATACTTCAGACATACTATGATGAAGAACCATATTCTGAAGAAGGACATTATGCTTGGTAAAGGCGAGGATCAGTGAAAACAGAGGAAGACTCCCAAGCAGAAGAACTGGCACAGTGGCAGCAGCAATGGGCTCAAGCGTAACAACAATCGAGAAGATGGTGCAGGATCAAGTAGTGCTTCATTTTGTTATTCAGATGTTTGCTGTGAGTCAGAACCAACTCGACAGCACCTTACAACAACAATAATTCTAAGAATGCCCTATACAGATCTGGCATTCAACACATGTGTTTCCAGTAAAACACTTTTTTGAATCTGTGTTATACCCTGCGCATTAATGCACCAGACTGCAGAGTCGATTGAACTGCAAGGTTGGCGGTTCGAGCTCACCAGCTGCTCCTTGGAAACCCTATACAGGGTTGCTATGGGTCGGAATCGACTCGACAGCACTTAACAACAATAACAACATAGGATTGCATTAGGTATTAAAGACTTCTAAAGCAAATTATACGTCTCAAGGAAATTACATATCAAATATCCATAAAAATTAACTGAAAACATTAAATAAAATTGTATCAATAAATTAGGCTTAGGAGATCATTTTCTGTTCTCTAAGCATTTCCAGCAAGTCCACAAATGTAAATAGTGACACTTAATGAAGTCAGCTGCAACAAAACCAAAAAACACAAATACACTACCATCAAAGTCATTTCCGACTCATAGCTGCTATAAAATGTCCCCTAATTATGGCCTTACAGTAAAAGACCAATTCCAGCCAACTCAACCATAAAACCAAAGAACTTCGCATGGAACACAAAATTATCAGTTAATGACCTAAACCACGGATCATATTCATAAAAAAGTGAAATAACAGACTAATATAAAATAAGTCAAAGAAAATAAGTGTTATTCATGGCATGTAATTTTCCATTACTGAAAAAGGAAAGTCAGTGGTCTTGCTCCATTATTTAAAAGAAAAGTTTCTAAAATGTTTCAAGTGACAAATCAGCTGGTAGACTAAACTTATAATCTAACCTAAAAAATGGAAAACAAAACCAGGTCTTGACAGAAGGTTTTGTTAAACACATTTAAAGATGAAGACATTCAAACTTCTGGAGAGTAGAAATTTCCCTATGAGCCTGTATTTCCTAACAGCCTGACATTCCATACTGACATTCAAAGTACAATTAACCTCAAGTGTGATTCTATAGGGTTTGGTCACTGTTTTCCCTGCAGAAAGGCTCCCATAGAAAAATGAACATTCCTCCTTCATAGCTAAAAATGTAAAAATATAATTTTCTCAAATACTAGGCCAAAAAAGACTAATACGTGCATTTCATACAATAAAAACCTCCATGACTAAACAGGAACATTTTGCCACGGTAGCTGAGTAACTGGTAAAAAGCACCAGGAATGAAAAAATATTCAGGTAATAAGCAGTATGGAATCCCCAAAGCACACTACAAGAAGAACAGGTGAAGCAACGTGTGCATCCATAGCATGTTCAGGGGAAGCCAGTGTTTCAGAGAACAAGAAATCTTTCAACGTCTGTATACAAAGATTTCAAGGAGCTCTGGTAGCGTAGTGGTTACGAATTGGGCTGCTATCTCACGGTCAACAGTACGAAACTACCAGCTGCTATGCGGGAGAAAGATGAGGCTTTCTGCTCCTGTAAAGATTTACAACCTCAGAAACCCTGTACATGGTGGCTATAAGTCGGAACCGACTCCACGGCACATAACAACAACAATACAAAGATTTCAAACCATGTTTATCACCTGCTCTCCACTGCCCTCAGGATGAAGCTATAGGAAATTGCCTATGTAATCTTAAGAAATTTATACTTATAAATAAGAAACTTCTAACAAAATCTGCTTTCTTAACTAATCCTCTAGAGAGTTTACAGACTCTTGTTCTCTGCAGATCTCTAACAGATTCTCTTACGGTAAATGTTAGGTGACAGTATTTTAAACTAGGACTCGACAAGAACCAGGTTTGAAACAAATTCCTCTGACTCTGAGGATTTTCAAGTACACCTGTACAATGAATACTTACAGGGCATAATCAGGTAGAGGCAACTTGCTCACATCAAATACTTCTTTATCCTTCATCAAATATACTGAACGTATATAGGAGACAAAACACTATAAAAAAACAAAAGTTTTAAATGTATGGTATGCAATAGCAACGATGGAAAATTCATTTAAACCAATATTAACTCCATATAACATGACTTAAAAAAAAAGAAAGAGAGAGAGAGAGCATAACTTTCAGAACTGTAATACTAAAAGAAGACTGAAATGTTGCTTTATCAAGTCATCTAAATACAGAGTATCGCCTTCCTTCCTTTTAGCTATACTAGAAATCAGTATCATTCAGTGGCAATAAGGAGTAATAGAAAAGTCTGGAATAATACAATTTGAAATCTACTCTGACCTCCGTATCTTACAAGTCGAGCAAGTTTCTTGCTTCATCAAATTCAGTTTTCTCATCGATAAATCAATGCTAATAATGTCACTTCTACATAGAGTATTATGTGAATTAAATGAAAAAAATGTATGAAGGCTACCTAGTAAACCTTCTGTAATGCAGTAAGCATGAATAAATGTTAGGTATTACTAATAATAATTATTACTATAATACAGTTTCCATTTTTCAACAAAGCATTACTGAATTAATTCAGTGAGGCTTAATACAATGACAGGATAAAGTTCATTTTGAAAGTTTTTTCTTTTTTATTACAATTTCTAACATTCCATCAACTTGCAATGCTTCTTCCATTTGTATCTAAACAAAATAAACAAAACTGCTTATCAGAGCTACATAAACCAAAAATTCAACATCATGCAGACCTTTTGTCCATTTGTAAACTGGACAGGTAACAATAAAGAGGCATGTCGACATCATCATTTGTTTATTTTTTAACTAATTTTTGGAAAGTATATGCAAATCCCATTTCCATATTTATTAAACTTCACATTCTCACGACTTTATACTAAACCCTTATACTCATCTTCAAAACATTTTTTAAAGAACAAAAATAATCAATAGCATCAGTTTGAAGGTAAAACCTTTCCGCTACTATTGTCCAGAAGAAATCAACCCCCACCTGCTTATAGTTTTTGTTCTATCGAGATTATAATCAAAAGGTAGAAAATCACTTCTATGAAATTAGATAGCTTGCTGCTACTGGCCAAACAGTTAGTCATTCTGCTAAACCATGCATGACACCCAATAAATCATACGCATTTATTTCAATGTGCTTTTCTATAATCTTGGTTCTGGAAGGCTTATTTATTGTATGCACAAACCAGTGAAAAAACACCCTTCCAACGTTTCAGATTTCCTGATTCATGATTGAAAGATTGTTGTTGTTAAGTGTTGTGGAGTCAGTTCCAAATCATAGAGACCCTGTATAGTGCTTCCAACGAGGGGCTGGTAAGCTTGAACTGCTGACCTTGTGGTTCAAACCTACCTTGAGATCCAGTGCTTTATCCCACAGAGCCACACCTTCTAGGTCTGAGTTAAATCATGAATGACACACTGGTATTCATGCTTTTTATTTTTTAAAATCATTCTTCATATTCTGTCCAAAAGACTTAAATAAAAACAATTCCTACCTTGGAGAATGTTTGCCTAAACTACTATTTGCTGACAAATGCATGCATATATATATATATAAAATGTGCTTGTTAAGTGCCATCAAATTGGTTCTGACTCATAGCAATTTTGTTTAGGGTTTCTGAAGCTTTTAAAATCAGGAGCAGTAAGCGTCATTTTCTCCCGTGGTTCGAACAACAAACCTTGTGGTTCATAGTTCTGTGCTTATCATATGGAGCCACCACATTCCACATAATTAAATAAAATTTTCATTCATATATATATATTTTATATATTTAATCTATATATACATACGAATGAAAATAATTTGCTTAAAGGCATCTTTCATTGGATGTTAAGTGCATATGTTAAGTTCAACATTATAAAACATATTGGTAGTATTCTTATGCTTTGGAATTAATTTCTCCTGATTTATCAATGGTAATTCTTAAAAAGCCATACTTAGATTTGACTCTTAAGTCTGCTCTTAAAACAACTGCCTCTTGGTCTATGTACAAGTCTGTGTACAGCACAATTTTTCCAGAATTTATCATTCTCCACAATGTTGTCCAAAAGCCTTTCCGTAGTCAGTAAAGCACGTATAAACATCTTTCTTCCTGTATGATGTTCTTGATGTCATCTCACAACTCTTCTGGTCTTAGGTCTTAAGTGTGTATCAAGTCTGTTCTACAGATGATCTCTAAATTCAGGTGGGATATATTCAAGGTCATATTTTGCCTCTCATGGACTTGTTTCCATTTTCTTCAGCTTGTCTGAATTTGCATATGAGCAATTGATGGTCTGTTCCACAATCTGCCCCTGGCCTTGTTTTAACTGATGATATGGACCTTTTCCACGGTTCTTTCCACAGATGCAGTCAAGTTGATTTCTGTGTATTCCATCTGGTGAGGTCCATGTGTAAAAGCTTCTCTTATGCTGTCTGAAGAAGGTATTTGAAATTAACAAATCATTGGTTTTGAAGAATTCTATCATGTGATTTCCAACATCATTACTATCACCAAGGCCATATTTTCCAACTACTGATATCCTCATTGTTTTCAACCTTTGCATTCCAATCACCAGTAATGGCATCAGGATTGGAGGAAGACTCATTAACAACCTGCGATATGTAGAGGATACAACCTTGCTTGCTGAAAATGAAGAAGACTTAAAATATTTACTGATGAAGAGCATAGCCTTCAGTATGGATTGCATCTCAATGTAAAGAAAACAAAAATCTCACCACTGGACCAATAAACATTATCAGCGGAGAAAAGACTAAGTTGTCAAGGACTTCATTCTTCTCGGATCAATAATCAACACTCATGGAAGCAGCAGTCAAGAAATCAACGGACGTATTTCATTAGGCAAATCTGCTTCACAAGACCTTTTTAAAGTGCTGAGGAACAAAGATGTCAGCTTGAGAACTAAGGTGCACCTGACCCAAGTCATGGTATTTTCAATAACCTCATATGCATGCAAAAGCTGGACAGTAAATAAGGAAGACTGCAGAAGAATTGATGCTTTTGAGTTATGGTGTTGGAGGAGAATATTGAAATTACCAGGGGCTGCCAAAAGAACAAACAGATCTGTGTTGGAGGAAGTGCAACCAGAGTGCTCCTTAGAGGCCAGGATGGCCAAACTTCGTCTCTCATACTTCCGACATATTGTCAGGAGGGATCAGTCACTAAAGAAGTATAACATGTTTGGTAAGGTAGAGGGTCAGAGAAAAACAGGAAGACTCCCAGCAAGATGTATTGGCCAAATGGCAGCATCAATGCTCAAGCATGGCAACAATTGTGAGGTTGGCCCAGGACCAGGCAGTGTTTCATTCTGTTGTGCATAGGGTCACTGGGAGTCAGAACTGACTCAATGGCACCTAACAATAACAACAAACATCTTTCTGGTATTCTCTGCTTTCAGTGAAGATCCATCTGATGTCAGCAATAATATCCCTCGTTTCACATCCCTGACTGAATACGGCTTGAATCTCTGGAAGTTCACTGTAAATGTTCAGTTACTGTCATTTTTAAATCATCTTTAGCAAAATTTTACTTGTATGAGGTATTAATGATATTGTCTGATGATTTCCACATTCCGCTGGGTTACCTCTCTTTGAAATGGGGAAA